TATGTATATATCAAGTAAATCCACTCGTTAAGAGGTACAAGCAATCAAATGTTCTCAATGTCATATCCCACGAGTGTCTATCCTTGTATGCAGTGTATGACAATCGGATCTAATACTTCACACGCTGTAATCTTTCCACCTTGGTAGGGGCCAAATATAAGCGACTTATCGATGGAAGGGAATGTACTGTACGAGTAAGGTGTATCGCTGTAGGCAGACATCTTGCAATCCATTGTGAGGGAAGCCTGCCATTGGATGAGGAGACTAGTGCTAGCTGTGCGAGGTAAATTGAATATGTGGTCGACTATGTCGTGGCCTGTGCATGTGGGGCTGTCAGTGCGTAAGAATTTATCGATAAGACATGGCTCACACCGCACAGTCATTGGCTGATTCAATCACAACACTTTGCGCTTTACTATCTGTTCATGCACACTGCACAAGATCAACAAATATCTCTCTCTCTTTGTGCTTTACCATCTGTTCATGCACACTGCACAAGATCAGCAAATATAAATCTCACTTTGTGCTTTACTATCTGTTCATGCACACTGCACAAGATCAACAAATATATATCTCACACTGTTTGTTCCGCATGTGCCGTCCACGTACAGTGAGCCGCAAACCTCGGACGTAGCTGAGAGGGTGTCTATAGTACATTCGACTCGTATCATGGCCACCAAATACGTGAAACGTATTGAGGTGGATGAAAATGGCACTCGTATTACGGGGAGATGTGCTGACTTGCCAGGCCTTTGGTTGGACATACGAAACTCGATTGTATTCCGTTTATTGTCGTTCTTCAAGCAGCACGTGCAGGTGGGTCGCCGTGTAGGGGTGGATGTGCACGCCTTGATGAAAGGCCAGGCAGCCAGCGCCTACTATCGGATCTCTGCCGCTGGAATATGTTTTTAGTTCAACAGAAACACAGCATAACAGACTTCCCGTTTGTTAGGGCTGTGCCATTGGCAGAATACATATACCACTTGGGCTAAAATTGAGCGAGCGTCAACATCTCTGTATCCGATGCGTAATCACTGAGTCAGTATTGCTGTGCGTGTGTGTAGCCCAAATTAACATCCCCACTCTAATTCCCGCTCTATATATCTTCCATTGAGTTTATTTAGAACTCCAATTGTACCGCTTACCTGCAGGTTCTTGTTTTAACCACGCATGATTATCCGTGGCTTGTTTACTAACCTAATACACAGGGTATTGATCGGTGTTCGCTGGCTGGTCTCATGCCGGAACTACAGCTGCGCATATTCTCAATGGTACCGGCGCGGGACATGTGCGCTCTATCACAGGTGAGCATGTGTGATAGGAAGTGTTGATGATATGATCCCCATCGAACCAAGCACTTTCACTTTAGTTCATTGAAGGCCAATCCGGTGGTAGTCTGCCTTATTTTACACCTGTGGAAAGATACCCTCAGAACACTCGCCCTGGTCCTGTCCCAAGGACATTTAGGGCTGACCCATCACTATTGATATTCGGACACTTTTTCGCATAGACGTGCCGGGCCTTTCGAGTGTTAGCAACCCATGACGATCTCTGGAGACGACTCTTGAAGATACACTTCTCCGCACACGTGCCAATCGAAATGTGAGATCAACTTCGAATCGGGTACTATAAGGCCTGTTATCGTATTCGCTGTATTAGTAGAAGCACGTGCAAGCGTCCATTGGTCATGCAGCATGTGCCGCTGAACACAGCCCGCAGTCTGCGTAGCACTCGTGAGCAGATTTTTCGAATGGCTGCGCACGCAAATGTGCTTAAACGTACGAGCTGATCCTGTCTGTGAGTGGTATTGTCCTTGTGCATGTACTTGGAATGGTCGTGTTGTTGCGTATGGCTTTCGAGTGGTCATCTCTACCCGAAAGTGTTATGAAGCAGTACGTGTGCATTCCTTTATTTTAAGTACGGCCTGGTATGTCTCGAAACGCATCCGTGTATATATGTAGGTCGTGAGAACGACTGTCCTCTATATGCGTCTGATTATAGTAGGGTGTTATTTTCTATTACATTGTTGCACCCACCATGCATAAAAAACAACCGCGTGCGAGATTAACGACAATAGTTAGATGCTTCTAGAGAATCGCACTGAAGTAGCCCACCGAGATACCAGCGATACATCACACTTAGCTGTTTTCATACCTGATTTTTTTTTGACCTGTCACATCACTCACAGGGATTCGCCGCATGAACCTGGAAAGTACAAAAAGACATTCGCACGCCTTTACGCACAAGACACACGCAGTCGAAGGGAGCTACACGATGCCTTCCGGCCGTTCTCGTTCTTGGTGGACAGGCCTATGTATATGACAGGCTACTTCCCAGGTGTGCTGATTCATTGCTAGCTTAACATTTACAGACTATTCACAGACTATTAGATATCCCTATAGTACAATCATAAACCAATCTTCCCCAGCGCATGTTCCCGTAGGCAGCGAATAAACCCAATTGAAGTTTGTTGTGCGGGTGCTCAGATGTGGTTTTGTTGTGTAGAATTGATACGCCCACAGTCGGATGTTCCGGCTGCTACACTAATGCTTGCCTGTTGGAGAGGCCCTGTCGATCACATTGAATGTGTTGTACACAGCTAGCCCGCATTTGTGCTCACTTCAACCCTTTTAACTCGTTCGTGTGTTTCTATTTCGTCTGGTGCATTTTAATTCCGTACCTGCCTTTGCCGTATGTACCGCACTCGCACCGTAGCTTGCACACAGTTTACGTACTTACGCTGTTATGTTATTTCCTTCATTTATTGGAACATCATTAGAGCTTCTCGGCAACCAGCCTTTGTCATTGTTCGAACCCGGTGAGCCTTCTTGGAGCATAGGCGACCGTGTCCCGGGCATGGGACATCGGATCTCCCCAAGCAGCTTTCTGTCACCGATGACGCCCCACACGTACTCGTCATACTATGGCAGTTTGATATAAACCACCTGCACTATTACTTTGAAATTAAACCATGCAAGATCAAAAGCTTGTAAATAGATGGTTTCTACTTCGAGACAAAACATGCACGATCAAAAGCTTGCAGATGTGTCCATGGAGATTCGGTTTCGAGAACAACGTTGTCACTGTTTGCTGCTTAAAATATCTGAAAGATGTTCAGGGTGGACTGAGCTCAAAAGGACATGCTGGAGCGTACTTGTTATCTCCTGTGGTATATCTAACGCACGTGTATCTGTCGGACCACGACAGCTTGTTTACTCGCCAAATACTTCCGGTATTGGGTATGAGTCTATCTTTCGCCAACAACCAATTTTTGCTGTTTTGAAGTGCATATCAGGTAAGTTCCGGGTGCTTCACGCGCTGTATCTACATAGCGCACAGGCCTAAAGAAACATACTGCACAAACTACTAGTAGATCGCACGGATCGACCAAAAGTGTCAAGCTTAGTGTGGGAATAACGTACGTTACATGTTATAACAAGCCGTTGCGACTTGCATCTGGTGAACCTGTAAAGCGCAAATGGTAGGATGTGCTCTGGGTACAATTCACCTGTGCTTTGCCAACTACAAGAGTGACCTGGCAAACCCCTGGCCCTGATATAAATACTCTTTAGAAGTTATGTACATTCACTGCATATTTATTGCAAGAGACCTACAAGCAATTTATCATAATTCTCTAGAAGTGTAAAATTTAAGGGCGAACGGACAAGTCCGTAGGACAATTTATGGAATTTATCTTTTGTTTTGATACCAGAACAATGAACCTTTCATCAGAGAGGTCAGAGGACACCGGACAGTCGGACACCGCGGACTGAGAGAGATTTATTTATTTTAAATAAATAGCAGTCCACGTGACCAAAAACACTTTTTTTTGGAATTAATATAGCCACTTTATGAAGCCCGTAGCACACTGACCGTCTGACCCAGGTCAGGTTCATTCTCTACTTCATATAAATTATAATACTTAATATTATTGTTGGTAAAACTGTAATAGCACAGACAGGGTTCGTTCCGAGTACGTATCTAAATACTTTACAAAGAGTCATACAAGCATAGCAATATTAAAAATGTCATCAGAAGCAACTCCAATCTCGGAAACTAATATATCAGGTAGTGTGCCAAGTCTGCTGTTGTATGAAATCAGTGTACCAAATTGTATGTTTAGCCATATCTATGTATGAATCTATATATATATATATATATATATATATATATATGTATATATATATATATGTATAGTATGTGTGTAGTGTATATAATATATATATATGANAACATACATACATGTANATATATATATGTGTGTGTATGTTGTTGTAGTGTGTGTATATATATATATATATNTNTGTGTNTGTTA